CGTTCATGGGTTCACTAGCTTTGTTGGTAAATGGATGGGAGTCCCCAGAAGGCCCTAGGGATGTAATATTTTCTTTGTGCACTTTTCTGTTTCTTTACATTCCAAAATGGTGTCATGTTTTGGAACTCATAACATCGAAGAAATCGTACCGATTCTGGTACTCCTTTGCATTCAAAGGGGTTTTAGGAAGGTAATTTGAATTTTGCCAGCAATAGTTTTTGAGTGTGAGCTCAATATGCAGACTGGATTCATAGTAGAGATGGAAATATCCTTTCATCTTACTAATGGATCGATGGAATTCAATGGATTTGCGTAGGCTGTAAAAGCGCGGAAGGGATCTAAAAAGGCGCTGGCATGTTTGCACTTTTCCAAACTCATTTAGCTATAGCCGCTGGTAATGTATTTTTCTAGCAAATTTTGTAGACCCGATCCGAAATCGCAAGTACAGTCATTGTTTTGCTTAAACTGGTGGAAGATCAACGAATCATATCTGGTTGCCCATTGCTGCCATTTTTCCGCAATCGCTCCCTTCAATCGCATCAGTTGTTGTCCGTAAGGAGCCCCGTCTGGCCACTTTTCAGGAGCTAATGATACCGCATTCCCTTCCACCAAATGCAAAGCATTTACCTTGCTGCCATGGATATTTGGCTTTGGTATCGATTTTTCGGGTTCGCCGTGCTTAACTTACATCTTTTGGCTCTTTTGACTATCGCCGATGATAGTGAAATGCAAAAACGACTTGACTTTGTATTGTTGAAGGAGCATTTGCCGAGCGCTGAACACTTGTGGTCGGCCATAATTTCCTAGTAATTTGGTAGGTGGGATCTGGGCGCCGCAGTTTATTTACAATTAAGGAAACTCTCTGACCTATTAAAAGTTTACAGCTATTTCTCGGCCTTCTCATTAAAATATCGACGGCATCCCCTGGCCACACTAGAAGTAAGCGACGTTTCTTTCAAGAAATTTGGTAGACGTCTGGCCATCAGTCCAGCCGAGAATATGTTGAAGTATAATTGTTCTTGTATTCTTAGAGTTCCACGAATTCCTTAAGGCTCAGAATAAACGCTTCCATTTAAAAATTCCTCCAAACAACCCACTGTTATTGTGAAGACTTTTCTTCTGCTGGGCCATTTGCCAAGAAAATATACGAAATTTGCGCATTTTGCATATGTTAGACGGCCAAAAGCACAGCTCAATAGACACACACTCAGCACGTATGCAAAATAGAGTGAGCCTCACAAGGACTGTACACAAACAAACATCGGAGTATAAAAGACAACAAAACAAACAAAGCATCACAAAGAAGCGTAGTGATGGAAACGAATGCGGAAAAGGGGCATGAAAGCCAAAGAAAGCGACAAGGAATAATAGAAACTGTTTACATTTTGCATTTACGTATGCATTTTATGCAGCGGCCACACACTTACATATATGAAAGGACACCCGCCAGGCAAGCAAATGAGACCAAACAGCGCTCGCTCGGTCGGTCGGTTTGGGGAAGCGCTCGAGTGCACAACGCAAAAGGCAATTTATCATAAATATTTGTCAAGGCTGGCGGGCAGCATAAAAGACAAAATAAAGCAATACAAAATTAAACAAAAGCAGTGTATGTATGTATGTGTGCAGGGGAGTGGAGTGGAGTGGAGTATCCGATGACCGCAGTGGGTGGCAGCTGAGAATTAAGTTGCAGTGCTCACTCGCAAAAATCACTGCCTTGGCCATTGGCAGCATACATAGTTATTTTACGGCTCAGCGCACAAGCTGCAGTCTTACGAGTATTTATTTATTTTTTTTTGTTTCGTCCCTAAAATTACCACATTGTTTCGTTGTGCGTTTATAGGATGGTATGAACGAGGCGAGGCAAGCCAAAAAAAAAAGAATTGTTGACGGCGCTTGATTGGATTGGGTTGGCGACCAGTCGCGCATAATGATACATGCCCTCAATGCGCTCGGCTGACAAATGCACTCCTCAAACAAACACACACACACATACATATACAAGAAATTATCATATAAATAAAGCGATAGCAAAAAAAATGGAGAAAATATCAGCAAATGTAATAATTTGTGGCTAACAAGCTGTGAAGTAATGAAAAAGTGCCAAATTTTAGCGTTAAAAATTTAAAAAAAAATTAACTAAAGAGGCGGATCCTTTCGCGTGAACAGATTTATTTTTAAAAAGAAGTATTTGTTAGACGCGTATTAAGTAAACGTAAATCCATTCAAGAAAATGATAAATTTTACTAGCTCATCAATAATGATCAGTGATATTAAATTGTTCCCTTATTTTGCTATGAGCTTCTTTTTGTGGCTGTCACTGACAGGCAGCGGAAAATTTCCGTTGATACCACTCTTTATAACACAATTGCTGAAATATGTACAGTCCCTGGCACCACATCACATATGCAGGTCCTCAAACGAAACTTCCTCCGAAACTGCCCGCTCCGGTTACAGAAAAACAAGCCATCTCGTTCGGGGATCGAAGAAAGTCCAGCGCTTTGAGTTGATCGTGACGAAGCACACGACACTGGTCTAACTGCAGCTTGACTTTTACCCCACGGAATGTTGACTTTAACAGCGTTAAAATGGCTACTCTTCACTACTATTTTGTGCAAAATTAAATAGATCCGGTTTGAATTTAATTGGGGAAATAAGAGGAAAAACTTCTTTACATTCAGTTTTACACGGCACCAGCACCGACGGGGGTTTGATAGAGCCCAAGCATAACCCTCTATAAGATCGGAGTTGAAATCGACTTGGTTGGCCATAGCGGGTTTGGACAGCGCCTCCGCTCGGCTAAAGGTTGGAAATGGAAGGCCTCATGTGGGTGTACTCTCACTCTTCCTGTGAAAGAGATGGCTGTGACCGTAAAACTTATCTTCAGAGAAAATTTTCTAGACACTCTGACCAGTCACAAACGGGTTTGATAGTTGCGAACATTCTATAAATTCTCATAACACCAGCTTCACTCTATTGATACTGTTACACTTATGCTTGCTGCGAGGGTAAGGTACTTGGGCGGGATCCTGGATTGAAAGCTATCATGGAAACCAAGATGAAGTGCATGAAAAAGTGCTACCCTTGTGGGAATTAGTGTGACACTCTGGACTTATTCTATTAAAATTTATGCTCTGGGTTGGACTCATAGACACTTCAGGCTAATAAGACCGCCACAGGCTGCTTCGCGAACACGCGGAGAAGTAGATGTAGCTAGTTCTTTCAAGCGTATCTTTGGAATAAACAGATCAGTGCGTAACAATGTCGGCTCAGAATGAATCCTTTTGTAAGGAGTTAATCATAAAGTTCGTAGGCGAAGGAGGTGAGACGAATATACGAATCGAGCAGACTTGAAAGCAAGACTTAAAGTTTCTAAAAGGGGTCTTACGTTAATGTGGCAGTCAACCAAAAATACCAACTCACTTAGACCCTGTCGGTCCATTTTAATACCACTGTGAAACACAGAAACCTCATTGACTATGTTTCATAGAACCATTTTGAAGCTCTTATGAAGCTTAGGATTGATTTTATTCCTACACCGGACAGTTCCATGAGAGAACTAAAATAGTGTTTACCTAAAAAGCCTGCCCTGCTCTTAGCTAAAGCTGATCAACTGCAGAAGAAATGTTCGGCTGTGACTTCTTCTTCCTCAGCTTGGGAACTTCTACAACTTCTTCCATGAGCTTCGAAATTCCCTATCTTGGGAGGCTGGAGGTTGGGCTCTTTCTTGGTCAGCTCATCGGCTCTGCAATTTCGTGAAATATTTCTATGCTCCGGGACCCAAATGGGACTGACCTTGAATACGGTACTAATGTCACTTAGGGCTGTCACGTATTACTGTGCAACCTTTGATTTTAGCATTCACTGATTTAATGGCCGCCTGGCCATCCGATAAAATACTGACCGTTGTATTCGTTACTGTCCCGAATTCGTACGGATAATTCGAATCCTAATTCTTCAAAGAAAACTCCCTAATCAACCCTATTGTCTAGCTAGGTTATATCCATGGCCTTGGTGTTTTTCACTCTCTTCTTGACGGAATTTTCTCTTGAAGAGCGTGCCAGAGGTTGGTTCAGGGGCGGAGTAGTCAATTTCCTGATCATAATTATCCAGTGTTTGAAGTATATTAGCGCGGCCAACACGCTGTTGCTTCCATACTTTTACGTCTGAGCGCCGAAGCGGCGGCCACGTGTTTTCCTTCGAGTTTTACAGCAGGCAGATTTGTTATCGCTTCTATCGCTTCGTTTGGGGTAGTCCTTAAAGCGCCAGAGATGCATAGAAAAGCTGTTCTTTGGACCTTACTCAATGGTTTTAGGTAACTTGCCTTTTGAGTTGCCGGCCGCCATACAAGTATTCCATATAGTAGTAGTAGCAGAGTCAGCAACTCTCTGTTGCCCTCAAGTTAAAATTTCCGGATACAGACCACATGCTACGTATAAGCATAATACCGTTTCGGAGAGTTAATATCTACTCTGACAGACAATCGCCTTCTGCTACGACCGAAACTAGAACGGCGGACCTCTCTCGGTCGCCTCGCAATACTTCCAAACTGAGTTAATTTAGGCCCCAATGCTCAGCGACAAACCACTGCAAGGCTGATTATCACGATTGATGGTTACCCTCGAGGTCATTTATCCTAACATGTAAGGTATTCCTGAGCATAAATTTCACGCGGTCAAAAGAGTTTCACAAGCTGGTCAAGCGCCAACTCTTAGTGCTGATAGGAGATCTTACAGAGCACTGTCTAGTAGTAACCTTTTACCGCAGCTGTTGCGAAGATGACGATTTACTATCTTCTCAGCAGTTTCTTCTTAGTTGCCGTTACTTCTCTAGGCTAGTTTTGCTAACAATGCCATTTGCTTTTTTATTGAACCACACAAATAACTCCTAAGTGTGGCGCGTGGCCTAACTTAACCTAACTTAGGCCGTTATATATGCCTCTAAGTCCTAGATGAGTCTATTTAAACTCAATATATTTAGGCTCGTAATAATTTTCGCCGCGTTTTTATTGTCTTTCGCCTATTGAAAGTTTTGCTGACTGTCTGTTAGCGACTAACTTCCGACAAAAAGTAGCTGTTAATTATAGCAAATAAGAGCTTTTATCAAAAAATATGTATACACATACGTATCTTAATGTCTTCAAAAATAACTTAAGTATATTTCTTTTTGTTCTTCGTGTAATCTTAAACAACTTTTCATGTAATTAAATTTAAATCTTTAAAATCCCTCGAACAATCGAGTTATTAGTCCCCCATTATTTTTCGAAAAAGTACCTAAATTTATGTACTATACATCTATAAAGCCGCAGCTTTGCAAACTAAGGTAAATAATTCCATATCAACCATATCGCTATTCCCACACCGAGCACCAAATCCATTGGCAGTGAGAATTTTCCCCGCATCGCCGCCTCCACACGTTCGATTTCAATAATTTTTCGCGCGCAGCGTATCCACTGCGTCACCGCGCTCGCTTCCTGCGCTGTGAATTCGTACTCTTCCTTGGCACCGCTAGCCGCACTCGCTGCACCGCTACCGCGCAGTAACACCGTTATACTTTTACTACCATTCAATTGCAGCTCCAGCGTTGGCCAAGCGTAATGATGACGATAGGCAAGTCGTCGCTTGCGCACCTCTGTGCAGATGAGGCAGCGATCGAAGAGGAACACCTTGGCGGTGTATTTCTTGCGCGAACGATGATGATACGCCTCAAATTCGGTGGCGCGACGGAAGTAGCCCTGCGCGGGTAGGTTGAGCTGTGGATGCGTAGGAATTAGTTAGGAAGGGATTAGATATTTTATTTTTTATTTTGTAAATTAATTCAACTCACCTCTGCTAGCTCGTCTATGGCTGCCACTTCTTCAGCCTGATTGACCACTTCGAGTAGGCGTCGCATGCGTGTCTCCAACTTGCACACAGACGCCAGTACTGGCTTGCAGCTAATGCCGCTTTTGTAGAATTCCTGTTGGAGAAAGAGAGAAAAAGATGATTTAAATATTTAGTGACCATAGTTTGAAAAGAATTAATATATTTTTGGGAAGTACTTACAGATATAAATTGCTGCAATAACAACGGATATCTGGTCAGTCTTTGCACGGGCTGCACAAGAAAGCTGTCAATGCCCAATTTGTCGTTAATTTGATTTTGGACATTCTAAAAAAGACAAAAAGTAAGAACAATTTTGGAGGATTTAATTATTTGACAAATTTTAAATTTTTATATACTAGGGCTAGATAATACACTGCTATACTAACTAAGTGGTGGTAAGCTCTATTTTTCACTTTTGTACTGTTATATCGACTGAAGTAGGCCCATGAGAAGGGGCCATTAGGATATCCCAAAATTGTATGAAATCTGCGAGCTTTCACGCACTAATTGATTTATTTATAATGCAATTTTGTAGGCGAAAGCTCGCAAGCCTTTAGATTAACTTTATTATCATTAAGAATAGAGCTTTTACGCGCAAAGTTCCAGTTGCCTTTTTCAGAACAAGCTTTTTCGAGCTTTCACATTTTAATGCACTTTCATGCACAAGCATAAAAATTTAAATGCCGCGTCTTTAAC